ATAAATGAATAAATGCAAGTCTAGAAGCATACAGCTAAATACCTTTACCACTTATGTTTCTAAAAATCAGGAGTATGTAATCCAGCTTTAAAGAAACACAAGGGAATGATAACTACATAATTTAAGGTTCTGGCTATATCTGGAGATAGAGGAAATTATAGAGGAATGTATAAGGGGCTTCAATTGTATTAGTGATTTCTATATATTAGTATGAACAGTAGATACAGAGGTACCGTGTTTCCCCAAAAATAAGACATCCTCTGAAAATAAGACCTAACGCAACTTTGGGAGAAAAAATTAACATAAGACACTGTCTTATTTTCGGGGAAACAGGGTAGGTGTCTGTATTACCATTCTTTGTATTTTTATTGTTATATATTTTTTGATGAATGTCAGGAAATATCTCACAATGATAACAAATGTAACCACTCTTCTACTTCCCCAACTTCTGCCATTCTGTCAGCCTGGGCTGCCTGAATCACTCTAGAAGGGTAGTTTTAGCAGGTCATTGTAACAATAATCACAAAGGTCTAGGCTTCGTTTCAGAGCAGATTTGGTCTCCGTCTCCATTTTCTGTTGATCAAGACAAAGCAAGAGATATATTGAAGTATAGCCATCCAGAAGGATGCAAGATTGAAAGGTTAAAGTTGGCTGAAATGAGAACTTGGGAAACCTTCATTGTAATGAAAAGTTTTGCAGAGTAGATAGAATTCTCAGACCACAAAATGACGCCTAATACTTGGATGTACCAATTAACTCAAGTGCTCCAAGTCTGTTTGGCGTCATGTAGTCCCAAACGAAATTCTTCAATAATTACCATACATCACGTATTTATGGAACTTTGTAACCAGTAATTTATCAGTCAGTCACCCAGTATTGATTAAGTTCTTATAAATTATGCTGTTGGGTACTAACCACTCAGGAAATGCATTTCAGAAATTGGCCTGGTCCCTGCCCTATTAAAATATATTTAATTACAATAGGTTATGTTTAGTGCCATAGCAGAGTTTAGCTGGGACTACAATATCTTCAGAAAGAGAATTATAGTCACTGAATTAAAATGCAGAAATCCATAGGTAATTAAAGGGAGGGAATATTTTCAGAAAAAGGTGTTGCCAAAAGAAAGGACATGTGTCAAATGTCAATTGTCCATATTAGTTGGTGAGAATTAGGAAAATGATTGTGGCGAATAGACAGCAGGAAGTCATCTACTAGATGTATAACCAAAGATTAATTTGTTACAATATACAATATATGTAGACCAATTTCATAATGTTCAAACGAAATATAAAAGTTTGGATGTTCATGTCAAAATATTTATGCCCTGTATGTCATAATAAGAATGTTCAACAAGCTTTCTTTACCTGTACTAAGCTCTTAATTAAATAATTGTAATAATTGTTTGTTTGAAATTAGGTTAGGTTGTTTATAAGAACTTGAAAAAATAATCTATAATGTAAAAACATATATTACAAATTAAAAGAGAAAGAAATATATATTAAATGTTCTGAAAAAATTGGTTAAATATTTGGGAAAAAAAGAAATCAAAATTAATTGTAAATGTACTATAAAGTTAATTGTTGAAAATGAGAACATATAAATCAGAGATAATTAGTTTAACCTTCTAAGTTTTAAAAGCTTCTGTAAATAAAGATAAATGTCTTTAAAAAACAGGAAAAAAACTCCAGAAAAAATAACTGCAACACATAGGCGGGGAAAGTAATTAGTATCTTTAACATAAAATGTTTACTAGAAAAAAGAACACTGAACCACAACAGTTAAACTGATATAAAACATAAACATGAGCATGCATAAACATATAGATATATACATAGGAATATTCTGTAAAGTGAATGTCGAATAATATGTAAATGGCTGTTACATTGTTTAATTTCCTAGTAGAAAACAAAGGACATAACTACACACACACACACACACACACACACACACACACAACGTTTTTCTTGACCCAGTTAGCAAAGACTAAAAACATAGTCAAAGCAAGGAAAACCCAGTAAAGAGGGCAGTCTTGTTACATCATTAGTGACAGTGTCATCCACTGCATATTAATGTCATATATATATATAAGTGAAGTGCCAAAATTGTTACTAGAATTGTTACTATTTTGCATATATGTGCACTTATATGCATATACATTGTATATATAGTAAAATTTGTCATTAACATTTATTTATATATTATTGTATATGCACATATACATTATATAATAAAAATTCATTTAGCTAGAGTCTTTTAACTTCTAATATTTTAGTCTATCATCTTTTTTTCTTACTCTATTGAGCTTCTGGATAACTTTCTTAGAATTGTACATTTTCTTATTTGGGGATCCATAAGCAAGTCAACTAGCAATGGGAGAGAAGCGGAAATTGATATTTTCTTTTGATTTTTAGCTGATTTTCGTCACCAAGAAGAAGCACATATGATCCCAATAGCCATGCTCTCTGGACAACAAATTTAATTTCTCTGCACTGTTATCAACTGCTTTGAAAAACTGACATTTCTGGGATTTAAAATTGGCACCATAACTTTGACCTATAGGTAAACTTTCCATTTCAGAGTTATTTACAACAGAACCCAGAAACATACTCTTTTCAGGTTTTCTAAGGATTCCGAACAATTACATTGTGTGTGTGTGTGTGTGTGTGTGTGTGTGTGTGTGTGTGTGTATGTGTGTGTACACGTGTGCATGCATCTGTGTATTTCCATTGGGAATATACCAGGAGTGGAATTACTAGATCACAGTATATGAATATCTTTCAATTTACTAGATAGTGTCAAGTGTTTTCTAAATGGTCTTGCCAATTTAAACTGTTGCCAACAGTATATTTATTTGAAACTTCAATATCTCTTAATGACTTAATAAAGTTTTAGAATATTTCCAGTAAAAGTATTACATGTCTATGGTTAGGTTTGTTTCTAAATACTTGAAATTTTCCAGTAATATTTCTTTAAGTTTTAGTTTTCTGAATATTATTGTTGGTATACAAAAATACAATTGATTTCTTAAATTATTTTTGTATGGATTTTGCATCTACTAATCTTGCTAAACTCTGACTCATTCTAATAGTTTGCTTGTCTTCTTATTTCTATGTTTATACTCATATGCAAATAGGAACAGTCTAACTTCTTCATATTACTATTTTGCTGCCCTGTTTAGGAATTTGTGTACAATATTGCATAGCAGGTGTCATAGTGGATATTCTTATCTTGTCACCTTTCCTTTTTACATCTCAACCCTTCCAACTGAGATTTCTTCCCTTGTGCTCTTTTGCATTTCTTTTAGTGTCTGTTGATGATAACTTTAAATAATCTGATTTAAACTTTTTACTTGTGGATATTTTTGTTGAGCATAAACTTCTAGTTCACCAATAATTTTTTTTTCAGGGCATTGAAGACTATTGTCACTGTTTTTTGACTTTCCCTTTGCTTTATAGAGGGCATGTCTTTCTAATAAAATGTAGTAGCCTACATTGAAAAAAAAGATGGGGAACCAGATCTCTGATGCTAACTTTATCAGATATTTGCTACTCTAAGATTTAGACCACCACTGAGAAGTTTAGAATTATAATTTGAAGATCTCAAGTTATTCAACCATTACATAAGCGTGTACACACACACACCATCAGATGACACTGGATTAATGAGGCAGGATTTATTTTGTCCACAAGGGAATGAAAGAAAGAGAAGGGAAGGAAGGAAGAAGGAATAAATGAATGAAAATAGGAAGGAAGGAAGGAAGGAAGGAAGGAAGGAAGGAAGGAAGGAAGGAAGGAAGGAAGGAAGGAAGGAAGGAAGGACTTAGCAACTAACAGTGACTTAAAGCATATTTATTGTTTGCTCAATTAGTACAGAGATTTGGAATATATTTACATAAATTTCATGAACATACCTGTTACATACAAGGAGACATGTCTGCTCTTAAATTAGGATGTGTGTAAGTCTATTGAGGTTTTGGAAATTTCTGTCACTAAGCATCTCCCAACCAAAGTTGTTGGTTTATAGGAAATGAGTAACTAAGAACTTTAAAGTCATTTTTTTGCCTAGTCTCTACTGCATGCCATTTGCCAAAGGGTCAGAGAGCATCGCCTTCAGGCTAATTAGAAACACCACCTCAATATTGCATGCTGTATCATATATACTTCTCTCTGTGAGAAATGGGAAAGAATCAAAGACATTCTTTTCCAGTCCTGCTCATCTAAAAGATTAGGAGTCATCAGCAACAGTGACAATTATCACCTAATCTACATCAACATACAATGTGCTAAGAAGCAGCAAGGTTAACTGCGGATAATCCTTGATGTACATAATCTAGAGCTACCGACGTGTACTTATCCCTTATTTTTATTTTTAACTGTAGCTAAAGCCATTGTAATGTGTTTTTCTTTGACCATCTCAATGTAGTCACTGACTTATAAATAGTGCAGTAGGTTTTAGTCACCATTCATTCAAAATTATCACGACCCAGTAATATCAATATTGTCTTTCTTTCTTTTTTTCTTTTCTTTTTTTTTTTTTTTGGAAAGTTTTAAAATTAGTCATCATCATAATCCCTCTGCTTAGCCACAGAATTCTGCAATCTTTATAATTAAGGAGTGGCTTTGTGAGCTTTTCCTTAGAAGCAAAAACTGAATTCCTAACCTGTTAGAAATCAAATTTATGGGATTTCAAATAAGTTTTGTGAAATAAGGAGGCAAGGGTTTATATCTGCTCAGTCATTCTCACAGTTGAGATAACATTCTACGTGTCATTTCTAAAGGGAGCATTTTTTTTTTCTGTTTATTTTTCTCCAACTAGTATCAATTTGTACTTTGGGATTGAAATTTGGATTTTTTTTTGGGGGGGGGAGGGGAATAGATGTCTATGTAATCCAGACTGAATAAATACACAGTTATTTAACATAAGTCCAGTGTTCCCTAACTTCTAACACAGAGAGTACAGACATCGTTAGCATTTCATCTGGGATACCAGCACTCTCAAGGATGGGTGAAAAACAAGGGCAGTATTCTGGGGATACTGAACAAAACGCAACTGAGCTGGTGAGTATTGCAAATAGTCTTTAATCTTTCATGTCTAATATTCTTGCTTTTGACCTTTAACATTTAATCCTTCAAGAAAATTAAATTGCATATCTCTGATGTTTGCTATTACAGGAGGAATAGAATCTGAGATTTTATTATCACTGATCACAAGTGTTGAGAGAGTTATTCAGTATGCCAAGTAGTACTCTCACATCACTTGGGAATTTTGCATTAGACTTTTGCTTAAATTTTGATATTTATATCAGAAGACAAAATTTAAATAGATGGTTTGAAATATGTTTATAGCAAATATTAACAACATTATTTATATTTCTAAATATTTTAACCCAATGAAAATTTTTATTCTCATTGACCTACTTGTATTTAAAGTGGTAATTTATGAAAAATGTCTTATGGCAGAGGAATGTATGCTTAATATTCTAGTAATGTAAAAATTCTATTTCTTAGAACATATAAAGGGTCTCATTCACCATTCAAACAAATCCCTTCATTTTACAAATGAGGAAAGTGAAACATTAGAAGTCCAGCTAGCCAAGGGCAGAACCAGAAATCAAACTCAAATTTCTCACATATAATCTACTCATTGTAATAGGCTACTTTTCAAATATCTGAACTACTATGTTCCAACAAAGAAAAATAAATTTTATAATTAACTTGAGGTTACAGAGCCAAGCCACAAGTGAAACAAAATAAATACAAGGCTAGGATTTGACATCGAATTGCTTTTCAACTTGAAGGTTGTACCTGGGGATTCACTAACGGTACCACCTTAGCATTAATGGTTAGCATGCCTTATGTGTGAAGGAAGCTGAAAAATGTCACTGCTTTAGAATTTCTTTATGTTTTTAGTATACATCATTTTGTTTCTATCTCCTTTTCATAATATATTAAACGAGTTATAGTTATGTTCCCATATGCCAAAACACTTACGCAATTTATTCCATTAAGCTAGATAATTAGTTAATTATGCTAAAAAACACGAACAGTAAAATCAACTTCTGAGACTATGAAATAGTTAGAATTTCCCATTTTTAAGTAATCTAATGACAATCTCTTACATTCTCCCAAAACAAGGAGCAGAAGACTTTTTTTTTTTTTTTACAATTATTCTATGATTTTAGAACATTTGAAAAATTACAAAGAAAAAAGAGTCACTCATGATTCATCCTAGAGGAAAACCACTGCTAATATTTTGCTTTCTGTCTCCTCTCACCTCAATCAAATGTAATTTGATTGTTGGTTTATTTATTTTCCCACATTAAATTTTTGTCTTTTTTTTTTCTTGTAAAATTTTCATAAAGCTCTTAATTAAAATTTAGAGAATTGAGAGCTTATGCTACTGAAAACTTCTATAAAAGGACATTTATTTAAGCTGTATTTTTGTTCCTCTGTAAAGTTCCATAGTATTCTTTATATAAGCCCTATGGTATTTTATATGCTTAACCATTTCATGTTTTATTACCATTGTAGTTGCTAACACACACACACACAAGGACTGTTATATATATATTTTTATATTTTGATATATGGGATCCTGTTTGTACACAATTATATTATGTGAAAATAATGCTAGTTTTATCTTCACATTTTCATTATTGCTACATGTGGATGAGAACATCTAATAAAACAAAATAAATGGACAAACAGAACAGAAGCAGACTCATAGATGCAGAGAACATTTTGATGTTTGCCAGATGGGAAGGGGGTTGGGGACCTAGGTGAAAGAGGTGAAGGGAATAAGAAGTACAAATTGATAGTTACAGAGTAAGAATTTAAAGCACAGCATAGGGAATAGAGCCAATAATATTTTAATAACTATGTATGGTGTCAGATGGGCACAAGACTTATCTGGATGATCATTTAGGAAGTTACAAAATATCGAATCACTGTGGTATACACCTGAAACTAATATAATATTGCATGTGAACTGTAATTGAAAAATAAAAAAATGATTTACAATTTTAATAATGGAAAAAATATACCCTAATATTGGTGGTAGGAGATATTCTTCATTCCTGGCTTAAAGGAAGGTGCCTGGCATTTCACTGTTATACATGATGTTGGTCATTGGTTTGAGGTCTATATTCCTCACCACAATTAGAAATTATTCTTTTATTTTTATTTCTTTGAGATTTGTATAGTTTGTCTGCTTGGGTCACAACTGACTACTGAAATTTGTTAAATGACCCTTGGGCATCTACTGAATGATCATTTATTTTTCTTCTTTGATCATTTGATATGAAAAATGTATTTTTATACCTTATGTCATTAAATCATTTCTAGAGTTTCAGATTCTCCTAGATTGGTTAGTTCTTCATTTGATACATGTTAGAGTCACATAATTTTTAATATATTTTATATGTCTATGTTTCTGGTTCAAATAAACTTTCTTTACCCTTAAAAATCAGGGTTGGTTGTCTGTTTTAAATTCTTTCTCTGCAGTTACCCAGAAATCCATACTGTTCAAATTGCAGAACACACTGTTGCTGTAGATCATCTCCTGCGACCTTCCAGCCACAATGGGTAAGGTTTGAAAACTGGGGGACGTGGGAAGTTTTCAGTAGTCTGTTAGCACAATGGAAAAATGGGACAGGCAGGCCCTGACTCAGACCCCCTCTGCAGGGCTCTCCTCTCCTTTAATCCTTCATTTGCTGCTGTCTTTTGGCTCTTCAACCCTTCTTCAGAGCTTCCCTCCACAATCTCTGGGCAAAACCTAGAACCTGCAGCCCCCAACCTTTTATCAGTGCTGTAGTCTGTTCCTTTAAGATCCCCTCCATATTAGAGATTCCCCATTTTAATGACTTTCTAGGCTCAATGAAATTTCTTTCATTCATGTTTACTAGATGAAATGTATTTAATAAGTAATTCTCTAATTATAAACTTTCAATAGATAATGTGAAAATAGGAAATAATGATGAAAAAAAAAGAATACTTGTAAATTTTTCTCATCCAAACACAACCAATCTAAATGTTTTGATATGCCTCTATATTACTTTTCTACCCAGGAGGACTAATTCGATAAGTTAATTTATACTGCAATGTTAGTAGCAGATAATCACTTAATGTCATATATTCCTGAGGCAATCTACTTGCATTTGTGATGACACCTTATTGCTTTACTGTGAAAGGGCAACTAAGAGGGAATATTTTGTTCTCATGGGCTAGTGGACAAGGGGTGTGTGTGTATGTGGGTGTTTTTGTGCTTACCTGAAAGAAAGACAGAGTGGAGGTTGATACGTTGTGCTTTAAATTATATAATATGGAAAAGGTTAGCTTTATTCTGATTGCAGTCACTTACCTAAGCTGCCCTATGTAATTTGCTGAAATATTCACTTACTGTAATCCTTTGCAGGTTATAGCAAAACCATGGTCACTCTGGAAAACATTTCTGGTGTGTCTGCTGGCCTGTCTAATTGCTACAACGCTCGTTGTTCTGGTCTTATATTTTGTTCACTTTGGCAAGCACACCACGGGTACAACTATCGTCATTCACACAGATGGAAAGTCCAGTCATGTGATCTGTGACCCTGGTTCTACCTCATCTCCTGCCCCCACCACTAGTGCTACTTCTTCTTCTGCCCCCACCACTAGTGCCACTCCTTCTCCTGCCCCCACCACTAGTGCCACTCCTTCTCCTGCCCCCACCACTAGTGCCACTCCTTCTCCTGCCCCCACCACTAGTGCCACTCCTTCTCCTGCCCCCACCACTAGTGCTACTCCTTCTCCTGCCCCCACCCCTGGTTCTACCCCACCTCCTACCACATCTTCTGCCTCATCGAAGCAGCCTGAATCTCAGAGCACCCCACCACCTGCCACGGTGCCTGCATCTACCATGCAGCCAACTAAAACCACCCCAGATCACAAAGTCGAAATTGAAGATAATGACAACTCAGATCACGGAGTCGAAATTGAAGATAATGACAACTCGGATCACAAAGTCGTAATTGGGGATTATGGCGAATGACATTTTTGAGCCCTCAGCCCTCCTTAAACCAGGCCAACACTCTTACTCTGAAGGAGGCATGTCTAAGCTGTCTTGTCTTCTCTGCCAAGAGGTTCCACAGCATTTGTCTTCCCGAGGTCTTGCCCCTCTTGCTCAATCATTTACTGGAATTCCCACATGGTGATGACTCAGCCTTGGAGCCACCGATGTTCAAATGATTGGAAAAGAAAAACTTCCACTGAGCCTGGTTGACTCATCCAGCCGGGGACCCGGAGTTTTCTCTTCACCCCTTTCTGTACAACCACCTTGGTTATCGCTCATGGAGAGTCCAGCTGCTGAAGAGGCCTCCAGGTGGACCTGCTCTACTTCCCTCCCTACATGCTGGGTCTTAAGCCAGTATTTGCCATCTGTTATTGATTATTTCCCAGTCTATCGTCAGCATTTGTATTCCAGTAGGGAAAGAAAGAAATGTCCAGTCAAAGTGGCTAGTGCGCATGGATTATTAAGTACCTACTGATCATTACAGAAGTGTTCCTCCTATGGGGAGTGCAGAAAAAAAGGGGTTGGTCAGTAAAGATAGGAATAATCAAGGAGGACTTCAGAGAAGGGCTGAGAGTTGAAAGGGGGGAACATTTGGACTTAAATAGATCTAATTAAATAGATATAATAGAAAATAAATAGATATAACATAAATAGATATAACAGAAAATGAGAGGGCTAAGGGGGTTTAAAAGATTTAAAATTAAGAGCACACTTAGAATGTAACAGGTGATGGATTTTCTTTTTTTCTTTCTTTCTTTCTTTTCTTTTCTTTTTTTTTTTTTTTTTTTACAGAGAGTATGGGAGAAGGATAGAGAGTTAGAAACATCATTGATCAGTTGCCTCCTGCACTCCCCCTACTGGGGATGTGCCCGCAACCAAGGTACATGCCCTTGACTGGAATTGAACCTGGGTCCCTTCAGTCTGCAGGCCAATGCTCTATCCACTGAGACAAACCAGTTAGGGCAGTGATGTATTTTCTATATCGGCATCTCTTCACTAATATTGTCAATATTATTTTCCATATTTAACATTCTGCTTAATCTCTAAATCACTATAAACACTACTTAGAAAATTTGAATGTTTAAATTGTTTTATACTTGGCGCTATAACTTTGAGAGTACATGGCTTATAATTTGCCATGAAACACAGACTCTTGTTCAATATTACTTATATTCTAAATGTTTGATACTTAGTAAAAGCATAGAAAGATTTCAATCTGGAAAAGACTAGATAGAGTAAAGCAGCCTTCCCATTCCACCCCCAATCTCAAAACTCTACAAAAGGAAATAAGAGTGTATGTTTCTCTCCCTCCCCCCACTATAGTATTAAATCAATTCATTTCAATTGTACTTGTGAAGAAAGATTCAATTTACTACCCTGTTTCCCCGAAAATAAGACAGTGTCTTATATTAATTTTTTCTCCCAAAGTTGCGCTAGGTTTTATTTTCAGGGGATGTCTTATCTTTCCATGCGCTAGATCTTATTTTCGGAGGATGTCTTATTTTCGGGAAAACATGGTAGGTTAAGATGTGCTTCCTTAGATGATTTAAACTTTGCTTTGTGATTTAAAAGTAAGAAGAGCTTTCAAAAAAAAAAAAAGATAAATTAACAGCTAAAAATGTTAAACTTTTGTAGAAGCCATTCTAAGCAATTAGATGTTTAATAAGAGCTGCTGTTTTCTTTCTTTACTTTTAGATAATATAGAATGCAGTGTGATAATACAAGTATGATCTCTTAACAATGAAATTCCTACATTAAATATTCGGTTGGAGGATATTGTAATTAAGGGCATGTGACATTATCAAGGTTCTGTGCTTTGTAAAATAGAGATGTAAATGAGCTCACAAATACTCTTGCTTTAGACTTTTATGGATTAATAAAGTATGAAAATAGTAAACAGTGGTGGAAAATATTTTTACAAGTTAAAATATGTAACAAAAATTTTACGAAGTACTATAAAAATGCTGTGAAGTGTGCATATTCAATTAAAAAGTACCCAGTTTTATTGCTTTATTTAGCAAATATTTTTAAAAATATATATTTTATTGATTTTTTACAGAGAGGAAGAGAGAGGGACAAAGAGTTAGAAACATTGACGAGAAAGAATCATCGATCAGCTGCCTCTTGCACACCCCTTACTGGGGATGTGTCCGCAACCAAGGTACATGCCCTTGACCGGAATCGAACCCAGGACCTTTCAGTTCACAGTCCGACGCTCTATCCACTGAGCCAAACTGGTTTCGGCTTATTTAACAAATATTAAAGCCACACATGTTATAATATTCATTTTAAAAACTTATTCACCATACTCACATGACAGAAATCTATTTTAAATTGAGAAGCTTCTCTATTTAAAACATATTCTACAAGCACTTTGATGAGTCCATTATTTATTATTAAATGCAAAGTAATTCATGTGGGATTAAAATGTTAAGTTTTCAAATACATTTTACCAAATAAGTGTCTAATTCACTTCTTTGGATGTGTATTTGGGCAGCTGGTACCCAAATATGTCAATTTATCTATATAGAAAATCTGCTGTAATAGGTAGCTGCCCATGATGATATTAAAAAATATTTTAGGGAACCCTTTCAGAACTTTTATTATTTAAGTCACTCACTTTGATATATATATATATATATATATATATATATATATATATATATATAGTAATTTCAAAAAGCTTTTGAACTTTGGAAGCATTTCTACTTTGTAATAAATTATTTGTACATTATCCTATTCAGTCCTTAACTTCTTCAATAACCCCCTAAGCTTCTTACTAATTGTCAATATCACCCAAATGTGATATTGTAGGCTTTGATATCAGTGCTACAAACAAGACTAACATGTTTCTAGATTGTCACTTCTATAGCTGATTTTTGTCATAACCTCGTGAGAGCACTTAAAAAATATATATTTTTAATAATTTTAGAGAGGAAGAAATAGAGAGAGAGAGAGAGAGAGAGAGAGAGAAATATTAATGATGAGAGAGAATCATTGACGGGCTGCCTCCTGCACACCCCCTTCTGGGGATAGAGCCCATAATCTGCGCATGTGCCTTCTACTGGAATTGAACCTGGAAGGTTCTGCAGGCCAATGCTCTATTCACTAAGCCAAACCAGCTAGGACCATGAGAGCATTTTTGAAATTTTGTTAAAGTCTCTCTTTTTCCTCCATAATGGGCCCTACTATCCAACAGTTTCTTCCTCAAATCAAATGCAACACTCATCATTTCCCCCCACCAGTTTCAATTTTTAAAAATTATTCTTTTCCTATTTACCCCGGCTTCAAATGAGGCTTCCTCCTCATTGCTTTCACACTTACCACACAGGATGAGTTTTTAAATGTCCATAATATGCCTGGCTGGTGTGGGTCAGTGGTTGAGCATCGACCCATGAACCAGGAGGTCACAGTTTGATTCCTGGTCAGGGCACATGCTGGGGTTGTGGGCTCAACCCCCAGTAGGGGGTGTGCAGGAGGCAGCTGATCAATGATTTTCTCTCATCATTGATGTCTCTATCTCTCACTTTCTCTCCTCTCTGAAATCAATAAAAAATATTATAAAAAATTTAAAATATCCATAATGTACCTCAAGGCAAAGCACAAACAAAACAAAAACATGGCAGATTAACAACAAAAAGGAGAAACCGACATCATTGTGCACAGAGGGAGAACACCACTAAGGGAAAGGTCACCCGTTAGCCAGCTCCTCATGAAGGAAAACAGCTCTGAAAGAGCTTGGGCGTTCACTGAAGAAACTTCAGCCACTCAGCAGAGCAACAACAACACCAAAAAAAACAGAATAATTGTAAACACAGAGGAGGAAGACAGTTTAATTTTGCCTGAATCATCCCATCTCCCACGGAGGCATTGTGTAGCGCCCAAGGGAATTTCCCAGCTAGAAAACGTTTCCCTTGCCAGGAAAAGATGAGCAGGGTGAGCAGTCAGCTTCCCCAGCCATTCCAGGCATCGCTGGAAGATCAGGCTTAGGTCTTGCCCCACCCAGACTGCAAAGCCGAGGCATGTAGAGATGGCCAAGAACACGAAGAAAAGCACTGGGTACCATGCAGCTTAATCATCACGGCTCGCATCGATCTGTCCTGCAGATAAATCCAGTGGTTTTTGCCTCTGAAGAAGGAATCATTGAGCAACGCAGCTCAGAGGACCACCTACAGATTTCACCAGTGTTTGCTCCCCAACTACTCAAGCCACCCGAGTGCCTTCTCATTCCCTCAAATCCCTGCTCCCACTGGAGCCTGGTGACTGCACCAGCAGCCAGGCCGTGCCACTGTGGCTGTGGGTGTGCAAGATACCAGCCGGACCTTCACAGAAGATGCCCAGCCTCGTGTGCACGGGGAGAGCCACTCCAGCTGTGCAGTGACACTCTGCAGGCCTGATACCAGTCACAGGCCTCACTGCTGTGTCCATCGCTGGGGGGAGACTGTGTAGCCATGAGAGAGCACAGCTACAGTCTAGGCCCCCTAGCTGCTTATAGGCTCAACTCAGGCCCTATCTTCTGTCACTGGCCCGCACCACTGTGCTTATCTCTAGCTAGTCATTCCAACGGTGCATCTCCCCAGCCCAACCTCTGACACTGCAGTGCACCTAGTGAAATACAGCAGCCTGAGTAGTATGTATACAAGGCCAATCAGGACCCCTGCAGCTACTCATGAGCCTGCAGTTAGCTGCAGCCAGGCTGCCCTCCCTGTGTGTCTGCAAAAGGCCTCTGCCATGACACAGGCACCTGAAGCTGGCCCTTGCAGGCAAGCGGGCATACAGAACTATCTTTGGCCATAACGGCCGCTTCTGTGGAACATGGTCACTGGACCTGGAGATGCCGCTGAAGACCCCAACAGCCCTGAAGCCATTGCAGACTCCTGGCTCTGCTCGCCAGGAACCACATGGTTGTTAATGTTGTGGACTATTAGCCTCAGCCAAAGAGACAGCATGTCCTCCTGACCCCCTTGCCACCACACACT